GGGGGGGTGTGGCATACTGCATAGCCACACGGGCCCTGCAGGGCCCGTCCCGGACATTCAGCCTAAAAGGCTAAAACTTAAGGCTTACAGGCCCCGGTCGTTTCAGCCTGAAAGCTGAAAAACGAGGGCCTGCAGGCCCTACCCCGTTTCAGCCTATTTCTGGGTCTTTTCAGACCCAGAGTTTTCAGCCTGAAACGGAGGGCCATTTTCAGGCCCTCGTTGTTTCAACCTGCCCCTAAGACTCAGGCACGGAAACAGGGATGCGGAACAGGCCAGAAATAACCTGTTCCTCACGAACTCGAGCAGGAGCTGCAGCTGCAGCCCCTGCCTCCGATCGGCATTGGCAAGAGCAGGCTCCTGGACTGCTCGCCAGCAGTCAGGAGGCACCCCGGTAGTACATAGGACTGTCCTAGGCACTTCACCGGGAGGTAGTTCAGTAGGCACGAGGTAGTCTTCAGGATTTTGGCCGCAGCACTCAGGAGGAGCGCTGCAGTAGTCTTCAGCGCTAGGTGGTATTAGCGCTAGCTGTAGTCTTCGGCGCTGGGCGYCATAGCTGTAGTTGTAGTCTTCAGCGCTGGGCGCTGGTAGGTGGTAGATCGTAGAGTGGGAGAGAGACTGGCGGAGGCCAGTGATATGTACCCGTGGCGGCATCGCTCCAGCTCCATCTTCGTTGTACCTGCATCAAGGCGCCAACTTCACAGGTTAGTACTGGACACAGAGAGAGAGAGAGAGTTCTTCTTCTTCCTCTTCTAAGTCCACCATCTCTTCTCACCCTCTCGCCACCTAACTTCTCAGACTACAACAGAGAGACAGAGTTGTGACTTGAGACTTGACGACATTGGATCCAGACTTGACATTTGGGATTCAGACATTTCGACGAGGGACTATTTGGGCTTGTGCCAAAGACTTGGTGTTGACGACATTCCCATCTTCCCCCTCCTCTTCGTTTATCCCCTTCCTCTTCGTCTGTGTATGGTATGGGCTGGCCCAGTCGTCTTGTGTGAAGCGCCAGACCCCAATCACACCATGTAACGATGATGATGATGTATGTTCAGGGCTGCATTGTAATCTTGATTGTTCGGATCATTCGTATCTAAGTCTTCCGCTGTGTTATCTTGTACTTTGCATTGAGAGGTCGGTTCTTGTTCTGGTCTGCACGTTACAGTATGCAACAGATATGCTGCTCGTCTCCAAGAAGAAGATCTGCGCCATCCTCCCTGTTTGCTGCTGACGTTGATGGAGGATGGTCGCCCTGTTGTGAGCTGCTCATTGTATATGTCAGATATGCGAGAGGAGAACTGAATTGCTATGTGGCAAGAGAGGCAGGTGCCCGAGGAGGAAGTGGGCTTGAGGAGGGATTATTGCTTTATTGAATCTCGTGGAAGCTCTCCTCCTCCTCCTCTCCGTCTCTTCCCCACCCTTCTCTCACTCTCTTCTCTGAAGTTCGAGACAATGGGACTTCACATGTATTTCGGGCAAGGAGACATAAGGAACTTCTGGAGACATTATTGCCGCGCTGAGTCAGACTTGTATCACGATATTGTTGAGCTTCTCATCTGTCTGGGTTCATTGCAAGTCGTCGAAATGTGAATTTATGCACCGTGCAGTCACATGGCGTGAGGCACAAAATTTTAATAGTGCACGCGGAAAGAAATCCATGGAAAAAAAAAATGTATTTGAATTTTGAAATGCGTATGCCTGTCGCTCCCCAGGCCGCTGACATCTACGTACCCAAATATGTGCATTCACAAAATACAGCGAAAGTGTGAGGCAAGATTTAAAAATGTTTTTGTGATTTTGCAACTTTGCCATTTTACATGCTCCCTCACTGCCCCTCAGAACGGCCATACCCCGGCCCAATCTTATATTCTTCCCAAATATAGTGTGTACCGTATGACGTAGTACCTCTTCAGAGACCTGTCGTTCTACAAATTGCCGCAGTTTGGAGACAACTGGTTAGTCTAAGATAACCTGATGTTTGCGGATTTAATTCTTTCTGTCGGAAGGCGCACAGTTCTGGCAAAGGGTTTCAACTTTTCCTGATGAACCACAGTACTCGTAAAAGCCCTTCGGCTCACCCCGTCGAAGACTTTGTGCCTTCCTCCCCCTCTTCCTGCTCCTCTCACTCCTCACCCTTCTCAGCCACTCTCTATGTCCAATCATGCCATTCGGTGAACATCATGCCCAAGGGAAGCAAAAAACAAACAATCAAACAAATGAATTATGTTGAATCATTTTGAAACTGCAGTGTGTTAGCGACATCATGTTCAAACTAGTGTTGCCGCACGAACACACGTGCACAAACGCAATGCCAAAACAACAGTGGGTGATCCTGTTTCAAGGGTATTGCATCATTTCAGAAATTACAGACAATCTTAGCCGTCTCCACCATGCCTTACAATATTGTTCCTATGCAACCCCCTGTGGCATACCTCGGGTTCACCGGCTGAGAAAGTTTCCTTGTCCCTCCTGGCTGGTTGTCGAAGTTTCGCTGACTTTCCTGCCCGCTCCAGGTGTTAGGAGCCTGGGTGCTGCTCCCCGCACAGAGCAGAGTTAGGTAGGCATAGACCCATAACCTCAGAATAGTTTAGCTCTGGCTAGTAGATTTAAGGCTGCCTTTAGGCCAATGTAGGGTAGTTCTTAGCTGGTAGACTTAGGGGGCTAGTGTAGTTGGTCTCTTCTGTTCTCTCCGGGTAGGTACCACAAGGTAAAAATACGGTTTATTCCCCCCCTTGCTTGTCCGGATATGTAGTGCACGGTCTGATACTGAGAGAAGATAATAGCATAGTAAACAAATGCGGCTGTCCGCCATATGAGGAGAAGACAAGCTTGAATTTTAAACATAAGAAAAAGAAAAGAAGAAGAAGAAGAAGAAGAACAACAGTTAAGGGCTGAGGGCTTGCTTGTGTGATGACAACTCGCAGGTGTGGAGGGGAACAGGATGCCGAGGGAGGGAGGGAGGGAGGGAGGGAGGACAGTGAAAATGAGCACAGGGAGGAACAGTGCGAAATAGCAAGAGGAGCGAATACTTATACACACACTACTGAACTCCATCGATCAGCGGAGCACTCAGTGTTGGAAGGATGACTGCATCCATGCATAAGTCGATCAACCAATGAATGCAGAAATCAAAATCAGCCTTCTCTCTGCATTGAGAAAGCGAAAAGAAGCACCACCCTTCTCTTCAGTTACTCGACACAACAACTATCACTTCACACACACACAAACAAGGGAAAAAACAAAGGTGACTCCAGAGTTGAAAGGGCGCCAATGTGGGCACTATATAGCAGTGAATCATGGACGATGCTGCTGGAAGCAGCATTGAATGTATTATGTACGTCAACTTTTTAGAAGATGCATTCTCTCTTTCTTTCTGCTGATTGCCACGTCACCTTTTCCGTCCCC